GAACTTGGCATTACTTCACTGGGACAACAGGTTGGAATTACCTGCTGTTCCACACCCTCCTTCTCCTCCCCTCTCCCCAACTTATCCTGATTCCTCTTAAGATAACAGGACAGCCCAAACCTTCCACAGCACAATTCTTACATCGAGCACCGAACCAGAGAGGTCAGCTCTTTCAAGATTTGCACAACATAAGTTGGCATGTGCGAGGTTGCAGCGGCTTAGGTTAGCCATCTTGAAGTTGATGTACCGAAGATCTAGTCGTGAAAGATCTGCTCCGCTGAAATTGAGACCCTAAAACCAAAACCAACCCCAAAAGTTACAGAAGGTAAGGCGCAGCTCTGAATACAGAACAGTTCAGAGCATCATTTCTTACATGCAAAGATACGTGCATACACAACAAGAGCACCTATGCTATTACATAAGATTAAAGCTAATGCAAAGCTGTAAAGCACTGACTTTGTTATTAGAGTGCATCCTACATTTAAATAGAACAGCTCAACAAACTGATCTGAAGTAAAGCAGCCCAAACACTGCACTCAAATTTCATACTAAAGTTACTCTGCTGCTTGGAATCAAAACTCAGTTAAAAAGAGGAAGGCAGGGGTGGGGAAGCACACGCTTGAATTTCACATCATCACATGATGCTGCAGGGCATCCCAGCACCTGACACCAACACAACAGATCGAGGCACACTTTGCATTTCCACACCTGGCATCGCAGCTCAGACTTGGTTGGGGTTGCCAGCAGGAATCGCACAAACTCTTTTCGAGATATAGGAGAGTGGTCCTCTGCTGGCTGTGAGTTCTGTTGAGAGAGTTGTTTAGAAGCTAATACGGATAGGACTAAATTATGTATTGCCTGGAAGAGCAGGACATGCACATCCATGTATAAAAGCAAGCAAGTTACCTTAATAGCTATTTCTAGATGTTCAATTAATGAATCGATACCAAAAAACCTGGCTTCTTCCAAAACACCTAACAAAACAAAGCAGTTATTTGTTATTTACACAGAGCCTTTAAATGAGATACCACTCTTCCCTTGTTGGAAAAGGCAATGCACAGCCATGCCAAGAACATAAGCTTCAGGTTAATCCAACCTTGCTATCAGAAGACTGCCAATTCAACTGACTTCCCCTGTTTGTCATAACTCTCTTTTAGCTACAGTAACCAACAGATGAACAGAGCACCTGCTGAACCTTAGGAAATGCCTAACAAATGCATGAGCTAATAGAACTGTCAGCCATGCACATCGTATTACACTGCAATGGGACAGAGGAAAAGCGAGCTTCCAGTCAAGGAGAAAAAATGAATCTCAAATACAGGTATTAAGATACCAAATCCAGGGCACCGTTTGAGAATAAATTCTCCACAATAAAACATTTAGATAAGCAGACACAAACCCCAGTGATTTTATCACATTTACCTCAGGACAAAGTTAGACCTTTAAAGAATACTAATGTAGGAGATGTCGTACAGGTAACACCTACCGAGCAGATTGATGCCATCGTTTACAATGAGCTGCCCGTGACGCAAGTAGTTCAAAATAGGCTCAAAATACTCTGGGCTGCGGTCAATTAGGAATGCTCCTCTGTGATCTTGCTTATTTCCCCAAGCATCTGTTGCCACAAAATACACATAATTAAATCTGAAAGCGTTTGCTTCAAGTTTCAGATTGTTACCACCAAGGGGTTACAGGATTGAAGCCTCCCACGTGAAAGGGCATTTCTTAGAGAGAAGGAAGGAAAATAGGAGTGGAGGGGAAAACCCCCCTTACATACAACCCCTTCCTGCTATAAATAGCTAAAACACATTTCACAATGTGCCTAAGAACCCTTGCAAAAGCAGCATTAAGACTGGTAAACACATCTCATTTGGTGTTCACAAAACCAAGTGAAATGCAACAGTCAGGAAAGTCTAAACTAGAAAAAAAAAGTCTGAAGTATCAACTCTGGGTGGGAGTTCTATTTTCAAATCATGAGACGATCGTATGTTGTGCTTTGATGCTTTAACATACTTTTAATACTTCAACACAGCAATAACCATTAACTTAATAGTGCCTTTTACCTGTTCAGCTACTCGTTAGCTTGAAGGATGAGTTTTATTTCGAGATACTAACCTTTATCTTTAAACATGTGGGCCAACATACTGTCAGGTTCTTTATTAACCAAAGTACTCCTAGAAAATAAAGGCAGTGCAATTTTATTTTTCAAATGGAAAGTTTTGCTACAAGACCCATTTGCTGAAGGGAATGCATTTCCTTGGCACCCAGAAGGTAATCAGTGCTGTGTGATATGCATTCCAACTCTGTACTGATTTAATTTCAGAAGAGAAAACAAAACACACTTCTGATCTAAGGCGTATCAAAGGTATTTTAAATACAAAGCACTTCGTTAGCTGAAATGTTCCAGGGATAAATGCAGGCCTGTTCAGGCTTTTCACCACTGTTAGCACATGTGAACTGTTTAAGCATTCATTTCAGAATGGTGGCAACAAATTCCTAGTACTGAATAAGCTGCAGGTCTCCTACTCCATAGCAAATGATTTTTTTTGTTCTTTCTCAAGAGCATCCAAAGTCTCACTACCTGAACACACACCAACTACTACAGCAACCTTACTGAAGTTAATTCCAGCTCAACTAGCCCCATTTTTACCGTGTGGTGGTGAAGTATCGACCTCCGACATTAAGTGTTAACCAGTCTGTGTGTGCCCCTGTTAGCTCTTCATGAGGTCTTGCATCAGTCTGAGGATCTACACAGGTGATAAGAACGCAGATGTGAAAATTGTGAACGTTTCCAAATCCTCCATATGGTAACTAGGTTTCTGAAAACACTAGAAAATTAAAGTTTAAACTTACACTAAAGGAAAGCATAGAATCATAGAGTGGCTTGGGTTGGAGGGACCTCAAAGCCCACCCATCCCCTGCCACTGCCATCATCAGATCAGGGTACCCAGGGTTCCATCCAGCCTCACCTGGGGCACCTCCGGGAATGAGGCACCCACAGCTCCCCTGGGCAGCAGTGCCAGAGCCTCACTGCCCTCTGAGAATTTCCTCCTAACATCTAAACTAATTTTTCCCTCTTTTAGTTTAAATCCCTTTCCCCTGTCCTGTCACTATCTGCCTATGTAAACAGAAGGCTGAAGAATTAGAGGCTTACCAATGAACGGTTCCCCTTCACAGACAAACAGAACATCATCATCTCTGGAAGGGGATAGGGCAGGGGGAAGAGAAACAAAAAAAAGATTAATCAGCTTTTTGTTCATCGAAGTGACATTGGGATCCCCTCCTGATCAGCTTCAGGTAGATGACAATCGGATACCATTCGTTAGAATTAAGAACCTGATCCTTCTCTTAACTTTGCAGGTTCCAGATGACTGCAATTCTACCAGCTGCACTAGAGATGCTACTGATAGAGACCCGTATCAGCCAGGTAGGGATCACTTCTGATATTCAGCAGCTTTAGTTTTATGAGATAGTTCCTTTTCTTCCCACTCTGAGGGGTTAATGTTACATGAAGCCAAAGCCATGCCAGTTTGTCTCCTTTTCAGAAAGTCTCATCTGAGAGCTGAACAGACTTTTGGGACTTCCTGGCATTTGTGAATCCACCCAGAGGGACATTAAAAAGCACACAATGCAGCTTGCATCAAATTCAGATTCATCAAAATATGATGTTCTGTAGGCAGCATTATTTTTCCTTGAGGCAAATATTCCATTGAGTATACAGGCTGGAAAAGATCTGGTTTTATGAAAAGCAGTTGTTATTCACAGAACGGCTTAGGAAGGGACTTTAAAGACCATGGAGCTCCAATCCCCCTGCCCCAGATCAGGCTGTCCAGGCCCCTCCCTGCCCTCCCAACAACTGCAGGGATGGAGCATCCACAGCTTCTGTGGGCAGCACTGCCAGAGCATCACCACCCTCTGAGTAAGCAGCTTCTTCTAACACCCAACCTCAATCTCATCTTTTAGTTTAAAGCTGTTCTCCTCTGTTCTATTACAGCATGTAAGAGGTCAGTCCCCTTCTTGCTTGTAAACTCCCTTCCAGTACTGAAAGGCCACCATGAGGTCTCCTTGGAGTCTTCTCAAGCTAGACATGCCCATCTCCCATCCATGATTCAGCATTTATGGGATCAATCTTACCTAATCAAAGCAATATCATCGATGAGACCACCTTTCCCATTGTAAACACTGGTTGCTTTGATTCCCAGCTTATTGCTCGCCACAGACAGCAAATCCGACAGCGTGCCATACACAGCCACCACCTGCAAAGAGAAGGGAGCCAAACTGGGGTTGCTGCCATCCCAGAACAATGTTGGGCCTTTAAAACCCATTGCTTTCACTACAGACGCCGCCCCACAGCTCTGAGCAGAGCGGAAGGAGGATTATTTACCAGCTGTCCAACAGAAAGCACAGCACGGGAAGGCCGCAGCACATCCCTGACCTGCTCAGGGCACGGCTCCATCAGCACAGCACCACTGAAGAGGAGCTGAGCTGCAGAGAGCCGCAGCCAGAAGCTCGGGGCTCTTCCTCGCGGCCCCGCACACGGCCTGAGCCCCGGCCCGGCCCCAACCCTTAGCCTCCAGCGCTCCAATCGCGGCCGCAGCAGCCAGCCTTCCGGCCCCAAACAGAGCAGAGAAAAGCAGAACGCCTCAGAAATCTACGCGCAGCTCCCCGAAGCCCACCCGCAGCCCGCAACCCCCGCCCCTCACCTTCCCGTTCCGGGGACTGCCGTTAACGAACAGCGTGACCCGCCTCATGCTGCGCCGGCGGCGCCCCGCTCCTCCTGCCGCCGAACCCGGAAGGCAGCGCTCCCCAAGCGACGGGAACGGAGACCAATCACAGCCGAGCCGCCGGCCAATGAGAAACGCGCCCCACCGGCAGGGCGGGGAAATGATGGGTAGGCGGGTTGGAGTACGGAGACAGCGCTGCCAACAGCCAATCAAAGGAGGAGTTGGGTCCTTGAAGCCGAGCGCCGCCCGCGATTGGTTCGCGCTGTCACGCGGACGCGGCTCGCGGCGCCGACCGTTGCTTTCAAAATGGCACCGCGGCGCGAGAGTAACGGTCAGTGAGCCGCCGCGCTTTGAACGTGAGAGGCGCGAGCGGCTGAACGGGCGGAGGGCAGCTGAGAGGAGCGGGGGCTGTGGTGAGGGGAGCGGGAAGCTCTGAGGGGGTGCGGGAATAAAATGCTCCGTGTGGCCGCTCCGCCCTGCGCTGCCTGGTCCGCCCGTGGAACAGAACGCGTGGCCGCGTGGGCTGCTGTGGAAACGAAAGCTCCCGGCCCGTTTCTCTGAGCTTTAAAATCTGAGAAACCGAGTGCGAAATATGTGAGCGTCCTAAACAGCCTCCCCTCCCCTCTAAACTGCTCGTACTTGTTGTAAATTGCGATGTGATTGCGTTTAAAACGCGTGTTTAAACGCGGGATTTATACGTTTGAAGTAAAGGCACGGCCCTGTTTCCTTGGCTGTTTCTGTGTGCTCTGGGCTGAAGGCTTTCCCTGTTCCCCCGTCGGGGAATTCCTGGCTCTGCAGTCATTTCACATCGTCAGAGGACTCTTTTCCTTATCAAATAGCTTAAAACTTCTTGTCCTTTTTGACAGGGAGCTGCCTTTGTAGGAGAACAAAGAGCAAGTCGGCAGTTTTTTAGGCTAAAGACTCGTTGTGGTCAAAGGTGACAGATGCTGTGCTGGAAGCTGACAGCAATGAGAGCTGAAATCCTGCAGTGAAGGAAGAGATCCCAGTCAGAAGAGTGGAAGCTTTGCAGAGTGACTGAGCCCAAAGCCTAAATGGCATCTGAGAAAGAGAATGTAAGCAATGGGAGAGAGCAGGGGTCGCACCTCGATGCAGGGGATGCTGAGAGCCATCAGGGCACAGAATGCCCCTCTGATACTCCAAAAAGGGCTGTGGTTGGTGAAGCTGCCCGGCCACTGAGCAGCAAGGAGAATGTTTCAGGTAGACCCGTGCCTCTGGGAGATGAGTGCTACTCAACGCCTGCAAGAGTCAAAGCAGAAGAAAAATTGTACTGTGGATTATCGGAGAAACAGAGGAGGATAAGTGTTGATTTTGCAACTGTAACAACTGCTGATTTTGGGATTACTCCAGAAAGCTTTGTTAATGGATCTACAGGTAAGGCAAGGCTGAAGTAATCAGTGCTGTCTGCTGTTCTCTGAGGTCTGTCCAGTCCAATCCCTTATCAAAAGCTTCCGAGTTCAGTCAGGTTCATGGTGACCAGCTGAGTTAGAGTAAGTCCAAGGGTAGGAATTTGACTTCATTCCCTATTTGCTCTAATTCTCTTTTACTTTTTTTCTGTTCTGGTGATCAGCTGTCAGTGAGTTTAATATGGGAGTAGTCAGGTGAGCCCTGCAAATATTGTTTGTGTTTCTAAATTTGCAATTGAAAAACCAAAAAAACACTTCAGTTTCTCTATTGGTATATGGTATAGTTGCTTTTTATTCTTTCTTATTTCCTTACCTGGAAAAACAGAGGCCCAGGTCTTATTTTTCTGTTGTACGCAGTTTTAGAATCTGTTTTCAGGGACTTGATTGAAGAACAACATGAAAGAGAAGGGCTTGACTGGATGATCTTGTCAGTCTTTTCCACCCTTGGTGATTCTGTGATTCTCTAACAGTTTTCTGAGCCGAGCAGCTAAATAAGGTTGTTTCCATAAATAAACATAAAACACTCTTAAAAAAAACCCCAACATTAAAACAATGTCCTGCTGTGCATCTTCACTGTATTTTTTCCCTCCTGTCTCCATTTCAGCTAAGTCTCCAGCTGCACTAAAGCTGAGACGAAGATCAGCCATTGGAGCCCGAGGGTCTCCAGAAAACAATACCCTCATTCAATATCTTGCCCAGCAGAAAAGCAACAGGCAAAAAGAAGATTTTGCACAGGTAAGGGTCGTTCTCAAGTGTCTAATGCATCATTTTAATTCCCCTAGGGATCAATATGCAAGTCTTCCAATTTAACACCTGCTGGCAGAAAGAAAATAAAATCCAAGGAAGGGATCAGTAGAAGAAATAACTGTGGCCTTATTTTGTTCATTTTCCTTGGACACCTTATTTTAAAATAGAAATTTGATGCTGGTTTTGTTTGTGTAGAATCTGGAATCTTTTTTGTCTATTTTCACTTACCATAACCTTCATTTATCTGCATTCACCACACTTAGCTATCTGGCAAATTAAACTTGGATGGTTCAGATTTAAGTAAATACTAACATCAGTGATGTTTCTTTTTTCTTTTTTTTTGTTTAATTTGAAGTCAGACTTGTTTTTAATTCAAACCAACACAGACTCACATTAAATAAATTCTGGAAATGGCCTTAGGGGACAGATTAGAAAAGAGAACAACAAATTTCTTGATGCTGTTCCTTTTTTGACCATATGAGTAAAGCAGCACTGAGATAAAATACTTGCTTCTTCCCTGAGTGTGCTTTATGTCAAAGGTATGAATAAGAACTGAAAAAATTGCATGTCATCTTGGAAAAAGTGTCTGCTGACATTGATTTTTCTTTTAGCAGGCGAGTCCTTGTCAGTTTGCCAGGTCACTGAGGAGCAAAATGGATATCTTCCAAAGAACTTTTAAGTCAGTTCAAGAGGCTGAAGGGAAGACGGGTTTCTCTGGACTCTCGCAAGTATCTGCTGCGCTTCGGGAAGATGGCTGCTGTAAGTTCATTGATTTAAATGTTAGGGCTTCCTTTCAGCCAATAAATATGAAACGACACTGAAAATGTTTTCTTTTGTGAGAGCTGATGATGGCTTGGGAGTTTTTGCTTGGCTTGAGGTTTTCTTGATTGTAACTCTTACCTGCCTTCAATGTGATGTGAAATCTTCTGTTCAACTGCTTTTAGGTACATTTAGAAATTGGGTTCCATTACTGTGAATTTCCTTATTTCCTAATTTAAAAAGTACATACTGCAAAAGCAAGTCAGGGCAGTGCTGTGGCAACTGTGAGAAGGCTGTACTGCTGTGATTCTATGCTGGTCTTGATAACATTTATAAAACTTTTTCTATTTTTTGAAGATTTGCTAATGTTATTTTCAAAGTAGAAGTAAAAATATATATTTTTTTTTTTACTAATTCAAAAAATACCTTCTTTTCTCTTTTGTGCGTGTGTGAAGAAACACAAAAATAGCATTAACAGAATAATCTGAAATTGTGGTTTATTTTTAATCACAGTAGCTCAGAACAAAGCACCTGTCACGAAAGAACACAGTCTGGATCAGAAGAGTGAAGCTTTCATGTCTGACTGCAACGGAGCTGATTTCAAAGAAAATTTAAAAGAAAACTTGAGCAATAGCAATAAGTCTGGTAGGAGGTTATGCACCATCTTGTCTTTACAGCCCGATGTCACTGAACCGGCTGCTCTTTCAAAGGTATTTATCCACGTGTGGGCAAAGAAAGTAAACTGCACAGCAAATCTCCCTTGGAAGAATTTGCCTTGTGGAGGGAAGCAGAATCTGGTTAGATGCTGTGTTATGGATGGTGGGAATGCTGTAAGCAGCAAGGTTATTCTGATAATTACAAAGAAGGCTCATGTTATGCAATTAATAAAATTTAAATATGTGTAAATTCCTTGTGAGTCCACAGCTGTGTCACTGTGTGGCACGTTGAATTCACACATTTGGCAAACACAGATGTCAGAAATGTCAGTTTTGTGAAGAGCTGCGCAAAACTCAGCAGATCAGTTTGACCTCTGCCTTACCGTATATGTGCTGATTTGTATCATCTTTCTGTTCTTGCAACTTCTCTAGGAACAGACTTATAAGCAAGGCAGTCCTATCAAGTATTCGGAGGCTGTTCTAATTAGAGATATCTTAGAAACAAGCCGTGGTAAGAGGATTCATCACTATTACTATCTTGTTATATTCTTATTAAAGAAAGAAAAACAATTAGAGTGTATCTAAAGAAATGTTTGACAAGCACTCACTCCATGCTCATCATCTTGGCTACAATTTTTAATGCAGCAGAAACCTGAAATAAGTTTGAGATGAAAGCTAACGGAGCATATAATGACAGGGAAAAAAATTACTTCATATTGCAGTCCATTCAGCCCTTAATTTCGTTGTTTGGGCCGTTCTTAAGGAAAAATACAGTTGAGCATTTTGTGTTTGTGAAGCAGAGGGGAGTGAGAGACTCCGAGGCAGAGAAATCCTCCCCAGAAATCTTCATGTAATGCTCAATTTTCACATTTTTATTTCATAAATTGCTCAAAATGTGAATGTAAATATGGTACAACAGCAGCAAAAATTCAGAGAATGGATTTTTCTTGAGACACTGAATGTAGTTGACAGCCACTGTGGAAGGGTGTACACTGCTTTTCATAGAGCTAATGCTGAAGGCTTCTCTGTTTTACTTCAGTCTTTAATTTTCTTATATACTTGCTTTAAAGATTTCAGTCCTGACCGTATCAGTAAAGAAATCAGAAGTAATGTCATATCAGATCAGAGCAGGAAAAAGGTTAATTTTGCAGAAGAACTGGCTGTGGGGATATATGATGGAAGCGAGCCGCCTGTCACGCCGCTCCAAACGAGGGCTGCTTCGTTAACGGAATCCGCAGCAAGCGGCTCCCAGCTGCGGTCTGTGCTGAAGAAAACACCAGTGAAGCAACTGATGGACTGCGTGAAGGTTGGTTAATTAAATCACATCGCAGTGGGATTGATTCGTGTTTTAAGATGCTTCCTGACTATTTGTATGCACTGGAGATGGTTATCAGTGGTTCTCTGTTTGTATCCTGGTCGGTTTGAAGCTTTCTTCTTATGAGAAGATCCGTTTTGATGCTTTAAGTTTTACTCAGAACAGCAAATAGGTTTGTTAGAGTTGTGCTGATTACAAAGTTTGCCTTCAGAGGGAGTTATTGTCGCTTTTGATATGAGAAAGGACAGTCCTTAAATGGTACTTAATAGGTTCTCTTATCACATTTGATAGGAATGTTCAAACAATGCTGCTCACAGAGGAGGAGGTGAATCCTTTACACTCTCTGATCACATCTGTGAGGCACTGCAAACAGGTTTGATTCAGGTTTTTTTTTTGTTTTTCTTTTTTTCTTCCGTTGTTGTTCTGTAAATTGGAAGATTCGCAAGATCTGAAGGGTATTATGGATTAACCACCACTGAAGTAGCTCATAAGTGGTAACGTACGGTGTGAAGTAGAAAATGAAGTTACCAAGGGAAAAAAAATACACTTCAGAAAATATTTAATATAAAAAATAGTGATATTGATACCAATATTGCAAAAATCCTGTTATTCATGAGATTTTACAGTTACCAGATACAACTTGAGAGATAGCTGGTGTTTTCTAGACTTCTATTTTCTTTTTTCCTCATTTCTTGATATTATAGTAATGCTAAACTAAAAGTTCCTGTAGAGTTGATGTCTAAGGGTGATATTTTGCTGTTTGGTGGTGATTATTTAAGGGAATGTTAAGACCTGTAAAAAGGCCTTGAAAAGTCTCTGTTCTGTGAAAGCTCTGCTTTAAGCCTCCTAAGCAGTCGCTGTATTTTATTGCAGTGGAGAGAACTGAACAGTGCAGCCCCAGAAGGGCGAAGAAGAAAAAAGTGACTTTTGGAGAAGATCTCAGCCCAGAAATATTTGATAAAACTTTGCCTGCAAATACTCCATTGCGCAAAGGATCGACGCCGGTCTGCCGCTCGGGGTCAGCACGTGGCAGCCCTTGCACGAGGGCAGGGCTCACAGAGGAGCCATTAACTCAGCCAAACTTCGATTGCAGTGATGTAAGCTTTCGTTTTCTTTACAGCTGCACCAACAGCTTCTCACAGCTCTTTAAGGGTTCAATGTATTGCCTTTTTTTCCTTTATCTTACAGGAATGTATTGAGCCTCAGGAGGTACAGGAGGGCTCTGTTGTTTCAGAAAAGCTCTTACCTGTTGAAAATACAAAAGGTAACCTTGAGTCGTATTTTTGTCATTAGATGCTACATCTTTCTGTACCTGAAAACTGAGAGATGACACGATTGTGTTGGTTTTTTTTGTTTGTTTGCTCTACATGGGATGTGTTGTGCCTGAAGTTAAATGCTCTTCCTTTCCTGTAAAGGTCATTGCAGTAGCTGCCAGAGTTTGCCTAGTGTTGAGATTAACTGGACATTATTTGAGCTTGTGTTTTTCTGCACAAAAGGCCGATCTAATCAGGCTTACTACTTCAAATAACTGGGCTTACTATCTGGATTTATGATATTGTGGTACTGATGGTTTTAAAATAGTGAGCAAAGCTGTAAGAAAATAGAGGAGGATATTTGTGATTTTGTGTCTCAAAGAAAACTTGGTGTTAATTATTTTGTTACTGAGTATTATTTTGTTCTGTTCTGATCTACTTTGTAAAACAAGTTGTTTTTTTTAATCTTGCCGTGTTTGATAACTTTTTGTGCACAAAATCTTACTCAAGGCTAAGATCTAAACATGCTGTGCGTAGTGTTAAAATGGTGTGCATAATTTCCTCAAAATATGATTGACTTCTGTTGATCTGAACCAATATTCTTATTTTCTTAATGTATAGAAGCAGAAACTGACAAATCAGACATGAAAACGACTCGCTCCTCTACTAAAAGGAAGGTGAGGTTCTTCAGTGGAGGGGTTTTGTTTTCTCTACTTCTTCCAACAAGGATATTTTTGCATATCTGTTGAAGTACATCGGAGCTTTTGCATCCTCAGATATGAGAATTATAGATACCCAGGTAGATGGAAATATCTCCACTTAGTGCAGCAAAGGAAATCTCATTTTTGACAGGAAGTGGATTTTCAGTTATTGGAACCAGCTTGGATTACAATCTGATGCTTAAGTTTCCTATTTCTGTTAACTGTTGCAGGAACTTTTCCAAAGAGTTGGCAAAGTTGGAAGAGAGATATCCATAGGCTGTCATGGGATCAAGGGCTTCAGTCCCTGACATGTAGTTACAGAGGGCTTCTTAGGGCTGTTGCACGGTGTTCCTTTTTTGAGAAAACAAGCATGCACCTAATTCACCCCAATAACTTAAAATTCCTACTCTTCAACAGTACAGCGCCATTTCTGAGGGCACTGACTGCAGCATCTCAAGAACAACCAGCACTAAGAATGCTAAAGACGTTAAAAATCCAAGGAAGAATGAACTGCAAAGACCAAAGAGTGTGACTGCCTCTGCTGCCAAAAAGAAGCAAGTAAGTGACAGCCCAGTGCAGTTGGTGAATGCTGCCTTTATTTCTCTGTCCCAACATCTAACACAATCAGTCTTCTTTCTTGTATGTTTTCCATGGTTATTTTGATGTTTATGTTACAGATTTTCTAAAGGATGTTTTTGTTTCCTGTTGCTGCCAATACTTTCCTCACCATGCCTGTCTCTTGTTTTCCTTAGCTTACCATCACCCCGTATTGTTTGGGCTGACTGGCAGGGCTTTCAGTGCTTGTAGGGTAAAGAAGGCACTTCAGAAGTGAAGAGCACAACTTTTGAGACTTCAGCTTGTGGTTCTCTTGTCAACTGCACACAGCTGATAATTCTTTGAACTTGCCCAGTTTGCTTTAAGAGTTACAAAGGTGTGAGGCCTCTGAAGTATTTGAGCCCTTTGTGTGTTGGAAAGGAGAGCAAATAAAACTGGAAATAGAGAGTTTTGATCTGAAAAACTCCTTGATTTCTTAATTTGGTTAAGTCAAAAATCAGATCTCATTGGAGAAATAATTCTTTATATTGTAGTTTTTAGATTCATATGAAGAAAGCAGAACAAGCAGGGCATAATTTGTAGGGAGATAATTATTTTCCATAAAATGCAGTAATGGTGCAAATTACTTTGTGGTGTTTTCCAAAAGGATCCTTGTATTTGCATTGTGCTCTAATGTGGTCCTCTTGATCTCTTCAGAAAACAAAACGTGCAACCTTTGGGAAAAGAAGAAAGAGAAAAGTAAAGAAATCTTTATATGGGGAAAGAGAAATGGCTTCAAAGAAACCTCTTCTGAGTCCTATCCTTGAGATTCCAGAAGTTTTCTCTTCTTCCTCATCTCCAAATTCACCAAAGACAATTGCACATTTTCCAGGTGATGTGTTCTTTAGTCTTCTTTTGCCTTAGTCATTCCTTTGCTTTTATTTCATAGCTATTTACAAAACAGTTCTGTGCACAGATAAAGAGCCCAGTATGAATTTTTCACTTTTAATGGCTTCTGGAGTAAAATGAAGTGGAAATAAATAAAGCAGAGTCCAAAGCATCTAATAGATTATTAGTCTCCAGCTGCATAAATTTAACTCTTAGAGGGCTCCAGTGAAAAGATCACCACAAAAAAAAGATTCTATACTTTCACTGGACACTGACAAATAGGAACATGATGTGCAGTAGCTTTCTGGGGAGTTTTTTTAATGCTGTTAATGTGGAATGCTTATTTAGTAGCCTTCTATGTGGTAAAATACTAGAAACTTTTTATTGTAATACTTCAGAAATTGTGCACTCACAACTGGAGCCAAGTAACCATGTATCATTCCTTGTATTTTTAGATCTTTCCACACCCAGGGATGTTCATAATGATGTTCAACAGGAGCAAGTGACTGAAAGACTGGGAGAGAAAATCATCCCTGTTGTTCACGTGTATCCAAGCTCTGAGGAACTGGGTGCTGTGGAAGAAGGCAGCCCCAGCAATACAGTGTTTCAGGTGATCTGAAGTCTGTTTCTGATCTACTTAATGTTAGTGCTAGAAAGTAAGTCTTGTGCTTGGTTTTGTTATATTAAAAAAAAAAAAATAAAGAAGATTTTAGGGAAATTGGAAAAAGAAAATTAGCTGTTAATGGTCAAACACTGAAAGAGGATGCCTGGAGAGATCATGGAATCTGCATCCTTGCAAGGAGTCATTCTGAACTTGGCTGAAAAGGCCTCAAGCAGCATAAACTGCACTCCTCTTTGGAGCAGGTTCTTTCCAACGTGTGGGGTTCCATGAATTTGGATTTTTTTTTTTTTTAGTTGTTTAGCTTTTATTTTTGAGAATGACTCAACTTAGTGAGGAAATCTAGAGCGCTTGTTTAATTATCAGCTGTTTGAAACAAATTTTGTATGGATTATTTTTGCCTCTAATTTTTTTTCTTTGCAGTTTCCAAATGTGCCAGACACAAATGATGTTCTCAATACACATTTCCAGCAAGCTGAAGAGACTGCATGTTTAAAAGGGAAAACAGAAAGTGATTTCTCGATAGAACATGAGAAATTACAGGGAGATTTCCCAAAGAAGGAAGAGTGGCTGTCAGAGCTAGAATTTCCAAACCAAGAGGACACTGATGTACATGAGACTCTCCAAAGAACTGAGTGTCCACCTAAAAGGTCTTCAAGAGGTAGACCACCAAAAAGAAGAAGTAGCAGTACTGTGAATATTCCTCCTGCTGAAAAGTCTCATTTTGAAATGGCTGGAGAGGACCTTCAGTTTTCTTTTGACGTTGAAGAAGTTTTATCTGCTCCACAGCTAAAAAGTAACTCTTTAAAAAAGCCCTTGAGAAGAAAGTCAAGTATGAGCAGTGAAACAAGTCGGGTGAGACGCAGCATGAGACTACAGAAAGATGCAGAAATTGAAGGACTTGCATGGATTGAAGTAACCAATGAGATTCTGCAGAACCCTTCTCTGCTAGCTCCTGCCTGTAAAACCAGGAGAAGAATAAGCACATCTGTCCTAACAGAATCTGAGAATATTCAGCATCGAGAAGAAAATCTCATCCAGTTTGCAGCATCAGGGAAGGAGAACAGTGAATCTGTTCATGTTGCTGGTGGTCCTTGCAGGAGGAGGAAAAGCATTTGTGTATCCACACCTCAAGAAACAAGAACTTGGTCTCAAACCAGGAAAAGGAGCACAACAAATTCTGTATATAGGAGAGACAGCAGTAGCCAAGAATACTCTGAAGAAATGAACATACCTCTTCAAAATAGCATTACCACGTAGTGAGGTTTCAGCTGCCTCTCATTTTCTTAAGTGAAGGTCAGTATTAGATTCTTATGTTCTTTTTGTGAGTTTGACTAGAAATAAGATACTAATTCTCTATTCCACTTAAATTGTTACTTGTTATTTCCTTATTAATATTCTGAGTAATTTAGAACTGATTTTTCATTTCTGGGCCCTTAAAATCTTGTGTGTGTGCTGTGCATACACTGCATAATACTCAGTAGCTGACCTGTTATCTTATTGTTTCAGTACTTCTGGTTTGAGCTGTGTAAAAATAAGAAATGATAACTGCAGGTCCTGTTTAAATAGTTGGTGTTGCTTTCATTTCTCATTCTGTTCTGTCAGCCCCAGTGAAATACCTGTGTCACCTTTCAGTAAATAGAGCTTCCTGCTGAAAATGGTCTCTTCTGTGACCTTGTTTTTACCATTATTGAGATGGAATAAAATATTTCATGAACTTGGCTGCTTGTATAAAGCTGGAAAGCAAACAGAACAGTTTCATTTTTATGCATGTTTTACTTTTCTCTACAGACATCATCAGCTTTTCCTGAGACAAGAAGTCCTAAAGCAACTTGAAAGAAACTTCACTGATTAAATGCTGTTCATCTTGTACTTCTACAGAAACGTTACTGAAGTTGTCAAAACAGACTCCCTGATGTTTTATCTCGGGCTTTGTATTTGTGTCACAGTGCAATTTTTAGGCTTGGAATAGAGGTGGCCGCAGTTACTTGGGTTGCTTTGCTGTGATAGCAGGATTTTGGCGTACCAGGAGAGGGCACTCTGACATGAGTTTTGTGGTCATAGCTGAATTATTTTGAAAATGTAATGTATAAAGTCTTTGAACAGATGCTGTGTGACATCAGAACTAAGTAATAATAACTGCTACCATTTAACGTTCAGAAAAATCAAAATAACAAACTAAGCACTGAAATTAGTCAATACCAGAGAAGTGAAACACTTAGGCACTGTATTCAGATATGACTTTACATGTGGAAATCATATAGCACTTTAAAATACAGCATTGCTCTCTAGAGTTGCAGCAGAAATTTTAAGGTCTACCTGTTAAATCACGCAGCAAGGCAAACCTTTTGAGGCTGTGGATGTCAGATTAAAGATCTGCCTTAAACAGGTCAAGCATTGAGATATCCTGGAGGGAGAGGCAGTAAATTAGCATGGATGATACTAGAGGGCTTAATCTGCCTAGAACACACTTCTTGTGGTGCTGCTGTCCTATGCATCACTCACAGCAGCAGTGGAAGAATATTCTCCCCTGAGGTTCCTTGGGTGGATGTGTTAAGTGCACTTCAGATGTGAAGTGTAAATAAAATCAGAAGTAGAAGAGCCAGGGTAAGGAGAAAAACAAAGCTGGGATTTGCCTCCTGGCACAACATGGTCAATAAAGAGTTGGATGCCACGTACTCAATGGCAGTTTGCCTCACATGAAGGTGAGGTTGGAACCTGCAGAAAATAAGAGGTTACAGTAACTGGGTTTAATATGGAGAGGACTTGAGAGGAGGCAAGTCTTCAGTTATGCAGAAGCATGGTGGAGGTTAATGGTTGGTTCTTTGTCACTACCAAATGGTACAAAAAATGTTTTTAAATTAGGAAAAAAAAATAAAAAATCTGGTTAAGCAGCAAGAGGAAGCTCCAGCACCAGAGATAGCAGATTGCCTTGGGAAGCTGTGGAATCTTTTTATCACTGGAGGCTTTTACGAACAGTTTAAACAAATATCTGTCTGAAATGACATACGATACTTCCTTGGGGTAAGGATGGGGCCTGGACAGGCTCTCAAGGTCCCTTCTGGCTGTGTTTGCTGATTGCTAGAGATTAGGGTTACAAAGTGAATTGAGACTGGCTAATATGAAGGTCCGAGCCAGAATTTGTCATGGAATAGGGAGTAGATTTGCTGACTTTGAGGGCTGTGTAGCAAGGGAACTAACTGGGGAATCAGGGAAGAGCCCTTCAAGTAAGGTAATGAGATGGTCCTCTAGTATTTTAAACATTCAGCTCTCATGTGATTTGCTCTTCTGAGGCAAACCATCTCTACAGACCCCAACAATTGTGGAACCTATGATTTGATGGCTGTGCTGTAACACAGAAGTGTGGACCACAGAGCGAACAGTGCTGTTCTGAGCTAATAGAATTCTGACTATTAGTCTTTGAAGGACCAACAATTTCGCAGTCCTTATCCAGCGAGCAGAAGTACTTTCCAGGGCTGGTCTCTTGCCTTTATTTCTGAGTAAGGATATAGCAATTTAATTGTAGGCATATTGTGTGCAAGAGGTTTTAAGTGTGTAGTTCTAGTTTTCAGCTACTGCAGCACTATAAAGAAATCTATGGTGTTGGACAGTCTCTTTCAGCTCCTGTTTGTTCTCTGTGTTTTTCCAAAGGAAGAGAGGGTTATTATAAAAGGCCATTTTGTATTTTAAAGTATTCACCAACCTTACATTTTGCATTGCATAGACATGAAATGGCTTCAAGTAGCTCTGAGTAGACACTGCCAGGGAACTGTATTCAGCTGATTGCCATGAATCGATCATGGTCTGATTAACAGAACAAGTGGTGAGTCCTAGAAAGGCTAATTATCTTGCCAGTCCAATGTAATTATGATGTCACTAATAAGTAAAAGTAATCATATTGCTTTTGTTTACTCTGTCCTATGAAACACAGTCTTCATGTGTTCGTAGATAGCTGACTATGCAGGAGCTAGCAAGAAGTACATCACACTTGGGATGGTCTTTTCTTAAATTTGCATTGTTAGTGAGTCAAGAATGCAAAGAACAGTAATACACATGTTTTCATAGAGTCATTTGAGTTAAAAAGGACTCTTAAAGGTCATTGAGTCCAACTCCCCTGCAGTGCACAGGGGCACCTGCAGCTCCATCAGTGCTCAGAGCCCATCCCCTGACCTCGGGTGTCCCCAGGGATGGGGCATCCACCACTTCTGTGAGCAGCCTCTGCCAGTGCCTCACTGCCCTTATTTTAAAAACTTCCTCATATCCATTCTAAATCTCCTCTCTTGTAGTTTGAAACCATTTGCCCTTGCTGTGTCACTGCAGACCCTGCTAGTCTGCCCCCTTGGTTCTCACAGCCCCTTTGGATACTGGAAAGCTGCTATCAGCTCTCCCCAGAGCCTTCTCTGCTCCATGCTGCGCAGCCCCAGCTCTCAGCTTGTCCTTGTAGGGGAGGTGTTCCACCCCTTCCTGCAGAAAACTTTAAAGTGAAAAGCAGGGTCTTTATATTATTCTTTCCCAGTCATCATTTTATGCTAATATTTTGCCATACTTAAGAATCAGTTACAAAAATGCAGGCTATATTTTCAAGTTTTCTCACGTGTGATTTAACAGGATTAAAACAGCTTTCTCAACTTGGTAGTTACTGTAGGCAGGGAAAGTAAACAATGAGAACAACTTGTGCCATTTTTCTGATTTACTGATAAGCTTTATTTTAAAATAATTGTAAATAAAGCTTCGTGGCTTCGGTTTATTTTTCTCTCCTTGCTTCTGACAATTTGATAAAGTGGATATTGAAATGCCTCCGTGCTGCATGTAAATGTTGCTATTTTATAGTCATTTAATGGTGATAACTGTGTGGTTCTTTAGAATTTCGTGCTGTAGCTTTTCTTTCCAGCTCTGCATCCTCTAGCACTCACAATTCGCTAAGACCAGGGAAGTAATTAGTGATGAGCTGACCTACGCACAAAGAAGCAAACAAAGTAGATCTACATACAAGGAGATGGAGAGAGGAAGAAGAAAAAAATAAAGCCAGTGAGGTATGCCAAGTATAGCTTAAGCACAGAGGAACAGGAGTGGGCAGTGGAAGAAATTTCATTTTCAAGCTAACAGGTATGTAAACAATGGAAATAACTTGGAAAACAACTGCAGTGTGTGGCTGAATATTCCTTCAGATTGCACCCTTCTAAGATCAGGAGGTAAATAGTGCAAATCACAGTTCTAACTCACAGTAAGGTGAGGTCTCACTCTGCTGTGTCCCTGTGGAAAAGATGAAGTTGTGCCTTTAACTTATAGACAAAAAGGCTAATGTATTAGTTTTGTAATTAAGTCCTGTAAATTGTGCATAACAGAGCAATTAACTACTTTAACCAAGCTTTGCAGGGAGAAGAAGAAAAACCTATGTGCACTGGGAATGAGGGTATGGAACATATTCCCTAACTCAAACCTGAAAAACCTGGTGTTAGTCTTGGGTTATTTCCAGTGACCCCTTGACTCCCATCTTCCTGCCCCCTGCACAGATTTGGAACTGGTCAGCCATTTTTGTTTTTGGAAGGGAGAGGAGACAGATATAATGAATGGCTTTTATTGTGCAATATTTCAAAACCTTTTTGACTGCATTCGGATGGGATGGAAAATGTTCTACCCTGTGCTGCAGCCAAAACAAACAAAACATATTCCCTAAACCTGGATGTGTGTTTCACTCAAACTGGCAGTAGTTAGAGCTCTACTCTTAAACAAGAATTCAGTTTGACAATTTTTAGGCCTTGTTCAGCTGAATGTAGCAGCCAAAGAAAATACTTGGAAAAAAATTAAATAATACACATATTTACAGCTTGCAGGTGGCATTAATTTTTGCAGTTCATACTGTTTAGTTTTTTAGAATCCTTGTTGGTTGGGATATATTGTAAATGTTAAAAAATATTCTTGTCTCTTTTTTTTTTTTTTTTTTTTTTTTTTTTTAAATGAGGGTTTAAGAAAGAAAAAAAAGAAAATAGTCATTCTGAAGGAAAACACACTTTATGTAGCTCCCTGATGGGTGATAAATAGCTGTGATTCAAGGCTTTAAAAGTTTAGGGTCTACCAAGAAACTGAAAATTCTACAAACATAAGACCCAGCAAACCAGCAGTAAAACCTCTTGACAGAAACCTGCTATGGACTGGCTTCCAACTCTACTAAAGTTTAGTTTAAATACCCTCTTTATGGTGGAGGCTTACTGCTGGTTTTTGGCACTGCCAATCAGTTCAGTGAAGACCTTGCTGTGTGTTACTGAGATAATTCACGTTGTGCAACGTGTTTTACAGCTTGAGCAACCGTATTTATTATTAATAATAATAATTTTAAATTTAGACACTTATGCCCAGAGGCCTTCAGGTATTGTAACAACGAAGAACTGAAAGCATAAACTATTAAAGCAGACACCATGCCTGGACAACAGCTCCCTGCCAGCCCTGCAAACAAATCTTCTGTTCTTCACAATCCCACCCTCCAAGCAAAAATCCCTTTGTGCAAATGAAATACAAGACTCCAAAGGTTTGTAAGTAGATAAATGGCCCTCACTTTCAAAATCATTATGGTGAAATCATTGAAGATACAGACAAGGTATCTCAAAACCTGAAGAGATTTTGCTGGGACAAATGGTGGTCGTTCTTTGAAAGACCTGATGATGTAGTAAATTAAATGAGCTCAGAATTAGAAGATTGGGCTTTTTGGCCCTTCTGAGGTCAGGGTTTGATTTTAAGCTGGTTTTGAATTAAGTGTTACTCAGTTTCCTTGCTTTGTTTTTTTTTTCATTTATTTGCCAGTATTGTAGCGACAGGATGAAAAATAGAAATCTAATATCAGCATTACAGCAACTGAGTTATACTGAAGATACTTTTGAAGTCGTGCTTCACTCTGTCATAAATAATTTGCCAACCTTATAGAAATATTTGGACAAACAAATGTGCTCAGTGCCATCCTCAGAAGGTCAGTAATACAGTTTTGGAATTCCTATTTGAACTATGACTTGGAGATGCTCAGTGTCTTCACAGGTACTATTGAGAAAAAGGAATTATGTGGTTACTAACATTGATTTATGATTAATAAAAAGGTCCTTTCATGCTCCCCTCAAGAAAAAAATTGTGAGTACTCATGGCATGTTTGGCAAGGAAAGTTTTGTAAGGTTTATATAACCAGTACGTAAGGTACATACAGCTTAATGCTGAGCAGTACATAATATAAGCTAGAGAATATAAACCTTAAATGTACTTTGGTCTCTTGCATCATTCCTGCTGCTTGCTTCTCACAGTAGATAGACATCTGTTGTACCTTGCTGAGTTTTCCTGTTTCACAGCGCTCCGCTGCCCCTGGTTTGGAATGTGACAAGTTGGTTTGCAGAGCAATGGTCCAAAAAGGGAAGCAATGCAGTTGTAGCACGGAGAATATGTGTATACACCAGATAGCAAATGGAAGCATTGCTTCTAGGAACTTCCAGTGCCTTGTAACGTAGTGCCTCCGAGTAGAGCCACAAAAAGTTTAAGGCACAACCAGAGCTTTGGTGTTAAGTGCCTTGGGATTGCACTCTTGTACAGGAGTTAAAGCAAATGATAAGGCCACAGACAGAATTAATTATGTGGTTTCACACTAACACATAGAATAGCCAAAGCTACAAATTGTTCCTCTTTTATTACAAAGAAAACCTCTGCTCCTGAAAATGTCTTTTTTCTCATTCCGTTAAGGATCAGCGAGAGCTGGACGCTTGAGGTGGTAGTTGAAGAGAAGTCTTAAACTAAATCCTAAAACTTTCCATTTCCATAGTTTTAGTGTGCTTTTCTCTGCTTTCAGCATTGAATGCAGTGCAAGTAGTATGACTGTGCCAAAAGCTGTTTAAACAATATTAAGATGTTTTCTTCAAACTTCTCCCTAGGAAGATACTCTTTTTTGAGAGGAATGTTTTCCCTAGAGCATTACATCATGAATTGGTTCAGTTCTTGGAGTAAGAAATTGGACCAAATGGTGGAGAAGGTCTCCAGGGGAAACATACTTATGCTGTTAAGTATTCCCACCAGAAAGCTTAGAAACCGCTTACATATTACCATTCTGTCCACATTTAGCCTTTCACCTTGCTGCAGCTGAACAGAGAGGGTAGGGGGTGGATAGGCTTTTTTAAAGAAACTTGAAACTTCTTTGTTTTTGTCATTACAGGGTTGTATTTTTTCCCCTTATTGTATCTTGTGAACTGAACTCTGATAAGGGAACGTCTCATTTTTGACAGCAGTGCTGGGTAAAGGACCATTTGTCTTGTATGCAAACTGTTAACGAAATCTTAATTACGATATTTTCCGTGGAAACTTCGGATTTAGTTTTTGTTTCAGGATTAAAATGAGAGGAACCTCTGAGAAGAGCGGAGGATGGAGGGATTTGGGTGGATTTGTGGGAAGGCAGCCTTGTGAACAACGTCTGAGCTGGAACAGTTTTGTGTTACCTCTTGTGTACGGGATGGTTCTGCATCAGAGATGGAGGCACTTGATACGGTTTCCTTTATCAAATGAAAATAGCACAAGAAGGAACGTACTCCTCATGTTTAGTCATGCAAATCAACAGATTTTTTAAAATATAGCAGTTGTACTCCGTAGAATTGTTCTTTGAAACCTGGTAAGCCTGCAGTTTCATAAAGGTCTGCATTTTGTTTTTCAGACAAATTAAGCATCTAAAAGCCTATTCAAGGTGCAAGTTTGATTAGGAAGCTTTCAATTTCTTCCTGTTTAGTTCATACAGTTGCATTTCAGGGTCTGAAAACACATACTCACGTAATAAAACTTAGAAGGCAGGTATTACCAGAATAACTTCCTAAACAAACATGCCCCAGGGCAGGGCACGCTGGTGGTTCATGAGTGGCCCAAATGGTGCATAGAGCTGAGCTAGAAAGGAGGCAATACTTCTGAGTCATGTTCCCATGGTAAAACATGTTCTGCTACCCCGGATTTGGCTGATGGACAAAAAGATGATTTCTGTGTCCTGAGCCTTTTGTCAGACACCTTCAATCACTCCTGAGGAATCAAAAAGGAGTAAGAGCTTAATTAAATTTCTATCCTCCCTCTCAAATGATGTGATACTCTATAGCTGTAAGGGGCTAAAGGGAAGGTCAAGCCCTGGAAATGCTTTCTCTGTTCCTGTTTGATACCTGTGC